AGCAATTTGCACGGTGCCTTACAAGGTGACAGAATCATAAGAGCATATTTATGGCTGCCTCTGATGGCAGCGGAGAGTGTTGAATTGTCTCTGAGGGCACACTTTATGGAGGGGTCCCAAATGACTCTCCCTCATTTGAGATGATCCTCACTAATTTGAGATGATACGCTTTTTGGGTTCAAGTTTCTCAGTTTGTTTTTCTGGTTATGGTGGCTTAGTGGAGGATAGAGATCTTTCTGCGGTGGATGTGTTATCCTTCCAAGTGCCTAGCCTGGTGCTGGACATGTAGGTGTCCAGGAGATTTGACAAGTGCATCATCAGGAAGAACCATCCTGCCACTGAGGACAGAAGCCAAGTGAGCCCACCGTGCGCAGGATGGTTGGCCATGGCTAACTGTGACCATCTTAGCAGCAATTTACACCTGACAGAAGACTTTAGAGCTATAGGAGTAGAAAAAGACAGAAAAGACAGTTCTTTTTGAAGAACTTCATTAATTTTTTCTTTAAATCCAGTCTTATTGTATAATTTTTAACCACCATTTACTTTATTACTTTTAGAAGAGAAAAACTCATTTTAGAGAAAATTAGAAATATAGACTATCGGAAAGAAGAAACTGGCCAGGACTGTGGCTCAGGCTTGTAATGCTAACACTTTGGGAGGCTGAAGCAAGAGAATCACTTGAGCTCAGGAGTTTGATACCAGCTTGAGTAAATGCTAGACCCCATCTCTACAAAAAATGGAAAAATTAGCTGGGTGTAGCGGCATGTATCTGTAATCCTAGCTACTTGGGAGGCAGGATTAGCTGGGTGTAGCAGCATGTATCTGTAATCCTAGCTACTTGGGAGCCCCAGGACTGCGAGGCTGCAGTGAGTGATGATGATGCCATTGCATTCTATCCCAGGCGCTGAGTGAGACCTTGTTTCCAAAAAAAAAAATGAAGAAAGAAAGTAAAGATCACTCAAAATCCGAACAATCAACAGAAACCACCATGAACAATGTGGAATATGTCCTTTAAGTCATTTTCTAAAAATATGTAAGCATAGAAAAAATGTGCTTATAAGACACATAATACTCTGTTTTTTCCAGTTAATTCCACTCATAAATAGTATTTTATATTAATTAACTGTCCAATAGTATGCTCAATTCTATGTATTATAGTCCACCATTTCCCCCCATAGTGTCATTCAAGATGGACTTGTGTGAAGAGTATTCTTCAAATTAATAATAAAAATGTAAAAATCTATAGTCTAGGCATTTTTTCATGCACAGAAGTAAGCAATCATATGTTTTTCAGAACAGTAGAAAATATACCTGCATAGAATGACACCCGGGAACATAGAAGCCAAAATACCAAAGGTAGCTGTTTATCTGAGGGTGACATGATCTCAAGTGGTTAATTTTTTTCTTTTTATTCATTTAAAAAACTTCTTATACTGACTATTGCTGACTTATCTAACTATAAAAGAGAGTTTCTTAAAAGAAGACATACCAGATGGAGGCACAGTTCTTTACTTTTGTAGGATTTATTTTTCTGTGCGTGTAATAGGGAAATAATAATTTCACTCCATAGAGAGGTTGTGAGAATTAACGGATATGATGTGGGAGAAGCACTGCAAAGAGTCCCAGGCACATTGTGGGTGCCCAGTACGTCGCGGCCACCATCATCCAACTGTCACACATTCATCTGCTTCTGCTTTTACTCTCTCACCTGCTCCTTGGAGTAGGAGGGTGGCCTTTCAGGTCTGATCACATTAGCCATTGCCCTACTTAAAAGCCTTCCGATGTTGTCTTTGCACTTAGAATCAAATATAAATAACTTCCCCTGGCTGCAGGACCCTGCAGGATCTGGCCCCTCACGGCATCCACAAGCAAATCTCATATTACTCTCCCTCTGCTCAGCTTGATACACTCTAGAGGCATCAACCCCTTCATTCTATCCTACCTCAGGGCCTTTGCACTCGCCATGCCCTTTACCTGGGTTCTCTTCCCCATAGCCACTCCTAGCCAGTTTTCATCTTAGCATGAAAGTTGCCTCCAACCAAGATAGCTCCCTCCACACTTGTGCATACTACGTCCCCGTGCCTTCTTTCCTTTTCGTCCTGACATTGGTCCTGCTTTACATGCTATTGGGTGTCTGTTTTATTCTCTACTTGTTCTCAGTCTCTCCATAGACCTTGTTTGTCATGACAGAGCTGTCCCTAGCACCTTGTAGGTGCTAAGATAGTGTCCAGCACCTTGTAAGTGCTCCACACATCATTAACAAATGCTTTAATCAAGGCTTTGTCAAGTGATTGAACAGTTTAGTCTTTCTAAGGAGGAAGAGGGCAATTATATCACTTTATTTCTACACCCTCCCCCATCTCCTCCCAGTCAGAGGATAATTTTTAAAAAAATCAAAACTGTTTCTCAAGATTCCCCAACGTGGCCAGATTTGTAGATTTTCATCCCAGATTGAGATTTTGGGGCTTTTTTTTTTTTTATTTAACCCTGTCCAGATTTGAAAAGAGAACCCTTGCAGGCTTTGATACATGAGACTGGACAGGCAGTCCTGACTCTACAAAGAAGTTGTGTTCCCAAAGTTTCTTTGTGTATTTTGTTTGTTTCCAACACAGAATGCATTTTTCACTGGAAACAATGTTCCCAGACTAGCCCACAAAAGCCTATTTAACCCACAATGCAAGTAGAAAAAAAATTGCTGAAATTCTAGGAAACGCAACAGGGAAAATGAATAAGAAATATAATTTCAGTGCTTTTCTTGAGTATAGTGCTTGAGGAAAGGCAGCTTCCAGCAAAGGAGAGTGTGAAGCAGCAAGGCTCAAGGTATGGGAGATTCAGAGAGTGGAGTGGAAGCTGGGCTGCCATGGCCAAGGCCAAGATCCTGCCGAGGTCCTACCCAGGCTGTGGGGTCAAAAGCCCTGCCCTATATGGAGCAGCTGGGGCCTGGGCAGATCTGAGCTTGTGTGAGGGAACATTCCTGCAGATTCGAATGCAACAGCGGGCAAGCAAGGGCTGACGTCAATTCTTCCGCCCATTGAATCCTGGAGCCTAGATTCAGCGTGCGAAAATTCTTCCATAAAACCAACGTGTGAGCATATAATATTAACAGGTGGCTCATCAGCCTGTTCAGGAAATTTCTGCCTGAGTTACTGAAGGATAAACACGATGACACATCTGAAAAAATAATGGATTCAGTTATGTATACCCCAAGGTAATTCAGGCATTTTTTAAAATGATCTGATCTTTATGTTACTACTTTAAGGCAAAATCTTTTATCACCAAAGTTAGCTCCCAGAAAGTTGGGGTATCTCCTACTATGGGAGGTCTTATAAAATTTCCCATGTTTGGGCAGCACCTATGGCTCAGTGGGTAGGGTGCCAGCCCCATATACCAAGGGTGAAGGGTTTGAACCCGGCCCCGGCCAAACTGCAACCAAAAAATAGCCAGATGTTTTTGCGGGTGCCTGTAGTCCCAGCTACTCTGGAGGCTGAGACAAGAGAATCGCCTAAGCCCAGGAGTTGGAGGTTGCTGTGAGCAGTGATGCCATGGGACTCTACCGAGGGCGATAAAGCTCAAAAAAACAAAACAAAAAAATTCCCATGTTTTCTGAGATTTCAAAATCTCTAATACTTTGAGGAAGAAAATGTTCTATTTGGGAAAGACCCATTAATTTGAAATCAACTCTAACTTGAATGCTTGTTGGAAGGGTCCCCTAGAAGAACTGAAAGAAGGAAGCAAAGAAATTGAACCTAGAAGTATTCTCGCAAAGAAGACCTCACAATTGTTAAGTGCTTTTTGTCAGTGTAAACGAACTCTTCAATATTACTCAAAAGCAATAGTGACATTAAATAATTGGTCATACGTATAGGTAGCAATGATGAATGTAAATGTAGAGGACAAACACAAAAGTGGGGTAACATTTCCAACAAGAGTGTCTTATATGGAATTTTAAGGGCTTGGACAGGGGAAAAAAAATGCTCCTGAAAACTGTTAGATGATTCCAAAAAGGGGTCTAGTGATAATGAAGTCATTAATGTCAAAAATGTATGTGAAGAGTTTGAATAAAATTGTTTTATGAAATGTGAGATTGAAAATAGCTACATTATAAATTAAGATATTATAATATCTTATGTAGTGTGTGATTTAAATATATGTGCAGACACAGAAAGATAAATACTGCATGTTCTCACTCATGTGTGGGAGCTAAAAAAGTTGATCTCTTAGAAGTAGAGAGTATAATAGTAGGTACTAGGAAGCTGGGAATGGTGGGGAGAGGGGAGGATAGAGAGAAACTGGTTAACTGGGCCGGGCATGGTGGTGCACACCTGTAATCCCAGCACTCTGGGAGGCTGAGGTGAGTGGATGATTGCCTGAGCTCAGGAGTTCCAGACCAGCCTGAGCTAGAGCGAGACCCTATCTCTAAAAATAGCCAGGCGTTGTGGCAGGTACCTGTAGTCCCAACTACTTGGGAGGCTGAGGCAAGAGGATTGCTTGAGCCCGAGTTGGAGGTTGCTGTGAGCTATGACCCCATGGCACTTACTATGACAAAGTTAGACTCTGTCTTGGGGAGGAGGGTGAAGAAATTGTTTAACAGATACAAAATTGCAGCTAGATATGAAGAATGAGTTCCAAGGTCTATAGCACTACAGAGTGACTATAGTTAACATCAATTGATTGTGTATTTTCAAAACACTGAAAGAGCAGATTTTGAACTTCCCAACACCAAGAAATGATAAATGTTTCAGGTGATGTATATGCTAATTACCCAGAATTACACATTGTATGCATGTATTGAAATATCCCTCTGCACCCCATAAATATATATACAGTTACTATGCATCAACTGAAAATATGTATGTGCAACTACGTTATTAAATATTCCACATGCTGGACTCTGTTATCTGTATTCCTAATAGTTTCTATATCTAATTAGGCTAATGGGGGGGGTCTCATTGGAAAAATAAGGATCAGATTTTATTTATTATTATTTTTATTTTTTTTACAGGGGAAAGAGTGAATGCAGTCCTCACTAGTACAAATTATTCAGTTGAGTTTTCCACATTTGGGGAAATTGCAGGGGTCAGCACATCCAGAGTGCAATGGATAATCTTCGCCCTGGGAAAACCACCTTTGTGATGGTGGTATCTCTCCTGCCAGGTAAATATGGATCACATTTTATATGTCCTGTCTCTGTATTCAGTCATATGTGGAATACATCAATACAAGTTTGCTAGGCGGTGCCTGTGGCTCAAGGAGTAGGGTACTGGCCCCATATACTGAGGGTTGTGGGTTCAAGCCTGGCCCCAGGCAAAACTGCAAAAAAAAAAAAACAAAAAAAACAAAAACAAGTTTGCTTCTAAAGGAGGCAGAGAATATTGGACTAAGGAAAAAGATACTTTTCAGCTGTTCAGGCTCTTGTTCTTGATTTATTATTCTAGTCATGTACTCAGGCAATCAGTTGTCTCTCTGTATCCTCTGTATCTCAGTTTCATCAACTATAAAACATGGAAACAGTTACACTTCCTACATAACTTTTTATCATCTACTATTAGGAATACACAAACTCAGTTATTGATTAATTTATACTAACAGTCAGAACCAGAATCTTGGTAATCCCAGAAGACTATTAATTTAAAACCATTTTACATTTTACTTAGTAATGTGCTTTGGTATTTACATTTTGTATCTACCTATGGTTTTATTTTAAACAAAAGAGTAAGGCTAGGCCATAAATTTAGATTTTCCTTTCTAGGCTGTTGACGTTTTCCATAGAATAGACTCCACACAGCAGTCCCCAACCTTTTTGGCACTAGAAACCAGTTTCATGGAAGACAGTTCTTCCATAGATGGGGCAGGGGGATGGCTTTGATATGAGTCTGCAAGCAATTGATTTTATGGTCTCTGTGCCCTCAAACCTCTCTGCTAGTGATGTAATCTATATTTGTAGTTGCTAGCATCACTGATCGTACACTCAGCTCCACCTCAGATCATGAGGCATCCGGTCTCATAAGGGGTGTGCGAGCTAGATCCCTCCCATGCAGAGTTTACAGTAGGGCTCAAGCGATTGTGAGACTCCACAGGTGATCTGACATAGGTGGAGCTCAGCTGGTGATGGGAGTGATGGGGAGTGGCAGTAAACCAAGCCCCAAATGGGATGGTAGATGTGAGAGAAGGATGTAATAACCCCATGTAATAACCAAGCCCCTAGCCCTTGACCCCCTCCCTAAGACCAGTGGGGGACAAGCCCCCTATCCTAGAAAAAGAAACCTCTCCTAAGCCTTTTAGTTCCTGCCCTCTCAAGGGTAGAGAAACAGCCTGAAATTAAGGAAGTATGCAGGGAGGGGTTGAGGAAGGGAGGGGTTGATTCCAAATAAAGCCCTGGGTGAAGAGGTCCCAAGTTGTTCTCAGAAATTTACCCAATACTTGTTTTGTACCCTCTGAACTATGTGACCCCCATCTTATGATCATGAAGTAATGTACTTGTGATGTGTATGTACCCCCACCCAGACTTGTGTAAACCTTTATGATGTACCCTTACCTTGTGACCCTTGAGCTGTATTGAATTGTGCTAACTGCTATGATTGGCTTCTGTATTGCGCTAGCTTGCTGACTCTGCAAAATAATAGTATAAAAGCCTCCTCACCCATTATTCGTGGCTTCTTGTTGGCCCACCACAAGGTGCACCTGCAGGTGTATCAAAATTATCAATAAATTTCTATTACTTAATTCTACCTGAAGTGGGTTCCATCCTTCTCTCACATCTACCATCCCATTTCAGTAAATACCATTGAAGCTTTGCTCACTTGCCACTCACCTCATGCTGTGTGGCCCTATTCCCAATAGGCTGTGGACTGGTACTGGCTGGAGGTTGATGACTGAAGCTCTACAGTCTAACATAGAAGGCTTCAGGGTCAGATGGTCCAGGATTCAATCCGAACCCCACCATTTTTGGTTGTCTAATCTTGAGCAAATTTCTTAGTCTTACTTAGGCTTGTCTGCCTATTTCTACAATAAAGATGATAATAATCACTATTTCATTGGCTTGTTGAGAGGCTTTAATGAGATTATACATGTAACCCTCGGAAATAAACGATGGCCATTGTTGTTATTTTAAAACCTAGGCTGGTGATCATATCAGTTTCTTAGAGCTGCTATAACAAAGCCCCACACACTTAGCAGCTTAAATAACAGTAATTTATTATCTCATAGTTCTAGGGACTGGAAATCTGAGATCAAGGTGTCAGCTCTCTCTGAAGGCTGGTGGTTCTCAACCTTCCTAATGCCACAACCCTTTAATACAGTTCCTCATGTTGTGGTGACCCCCAGTCATAAAATGATTTTCGTTGCTACTCATAACTGTAATTTTGCTACCGTTATGAATCATAATGTAATATCTGATATGCAGAATATATTTTCATTGTTGCAAAGAAGTCTCCACCCACAGGTTGAGAATGGCTGAAGAGGAATCTGTCTTTGCCTCAGCTTCTGGTGTTTGTCAGCAATCCAATATCGGATTAGGACCTGCCCTAACCACTTGATTGCATCTTGATTACCTCTGCAAAGACTGTATTTCTAAAGGAGATCACATTCTGAGGTTCTAGGGGTTGGGGCTTGAATGTACGTTTTTAGAGGGATGTAATTCAACCTATAACAGCAATAATTTTTTTTTTTTTAATTTAAAGAGATTTATTCTGAGCGGAATATTTACAGTTATGACCTGGAGAGCCACACCCAGGAAGCCTTGAGCAAGTGGTTTCTGGTAATAGTTCTTTCAAAAATTTTCCAAAGTAAGGAAAGTGTTTTACATTTTGCTATTTAAAGATGCTTCCCTACAAGATGTTATCATTGCAGAGATTGTTGCTATCAAGAATGTTCAGATTAAGAAATTTAAACAGCCGGTTGAGGTGGCTCATGCCTGTAATCCTAACACTCTGGGAGTCTGAGGGGGGTGGTTTGCTTGAACTCAGGAGTTCGAGACCAGCCTGAGTAAGAGTGAGACCCCCATCTCTACTAAAAATAGAAAAATCAGCTGGGTATTGTGGTGGGCACCTGTAGTCCCAGCTACTATCGAAGCTGAGGCAAAAGGATTGCTATAGTCCAGGAGTTTGAGGTTGCTGTGAGCTATGAAGCCACAGCAACAGCACTTTACACAAAGTGACAGAGTAAAACTCCGTCTTAAAACAAAATAAAAAACTTAAATTCAATTTGATTTTGCTTGTCAATAAATTCTCAAGCAAGGAATTTGTTTTCTTTAAATAGGGAGGCATTCTTTTGGGCAGGACTCTGTCAAGAACATGTTACAAATTGTGTTTCCAGAGAACTGTTCACTGTTTTCCATGCCAACAAGCATGAGCCAAACACTCATCTTTTCTTGTTGGCACCTAACTCCTCACTGGATTTTGATTTGAAATGGTCATTAAAATTCATCCTCATGGGGCGGCTCCTGTGGCTCAGAGAGTAGGGCACCAGCCCCATATACTGAGGGTGGTG